CACCACCATCACCAACAACAACAACAACACAAACGATCCGACAGCAACAGCAACACAACAGGCAACATAAACAATAACCACAGCAACAGCCACAGCAACAACAGCAAGGACAACAGAAACAGTTGCTTAACATGCTCTCCGACCTTGCCGGCCCCCACGGAACTCTTTGCTTGTCGTTCCCTTCGCGCATAGCATGTTAATCGGAGAGGCAAAAGAGGACAAGGCAGCTGAAGCCCTGCTCAAGAACACTAATCGACGCTACAGACCTCGGTTTTGAGCGACGTGTGCTTCGATTGGCACGCTCCGTGCCTGAATCTCGAAGGTAGAACTGCTACTGCGGTTAGAAATGCGACATGACTTGTGAATCGCAAACGTAAGGAGACCTGGCGGAGCACATTCTGGGAACAAAGGAATAAGGTCGTGTGGGGGACATGCGAGAAGGGACTGGTGGAGCTCACTCAGTCCGAACGCGACAACGCAGCAATCATGCGGCATCGGCACAACTGTGCGCCACGAAGGAAAAACCCTCAAGGTGGCCTCGCGCAGGAGCTGCCTCTTCGGCTCTACGGCCTCTCACGACACAAACAGCGTAACAGTCACAAGAGGGAGGCAACCGTGTGGCAACTGCACTAGGCATCGAGAACAATGTGGCATCTGAAGCTTCACTGATACCAGTATGCTAGCTCTGTCTACCAATACCATTAGTCTGTTTGTGCTCCCTACAAATGACCGCAGATTACCTTCTGCCACACGAATCCCTGGAGAGAGCAATCTGTCCAGCGAGCGTACACCATCTCCATCCTATGCAGCAGGTGCTCGGAACGCACCGTCCCGTGACAAGCAAAGCTCGAAAAATGGGAGACTCCAGAGCCTTCGTGTGAGAGGGTGAGACTGAGAGTCGTGCTGAGACCCAAACATTGACTCCGAGCCCAACTACGAGGAAGCGCACAAGCGCGTTGTTGAGAAACGGACATGATGAAGGTCAAACCGTCATATTCTTAGGCCTGAGGCGCGATGTTTCGGCGCCTGGTCTGATGCGCCCTGAACGCCTTCGGGACTATCGACAGCCCAGTTCCTGGACCCCAACCTTGGCCACAAAGTGGTACTTGTACATGGCACCAACCCAGAGGCAGATTGCTTCGCAGGCGATGGAGGCCTCGTTGGGTGCAAAGCAGTCGTCGGCTTCTGGATTTAGGGCTATTGTAGGCTTGGGGTATTTAGGGCTTCTTGTTTAAAGCTTGAGGTTCCGGGTTTGTGAATTCCGTTGGTAATTCAAGCTGCCTCGCGTTTTGCCGGAAAGCGTGAGAATAGTGGCTTGCGGATTGGCGTTCTATGCCTAAAAGCCTGAGCATTGGCTTTCAATGCCTAGCAGCCTGGCAAGATCCATCTGCGGTTGGGAAAACGGCTTTTCGAGTAGCTACAGGTACGCGACCACTGGAGCATTGTCCTGAACCTTTGTACTACGCAGAGGAAGCCTCGACCAGCAGCAGACCAAACACCACCCCAGATCTGATCATGCAGGTGCAGAAAGCTCATTACATGCAGCAAGTCGGGCCGAACAGGCCAAGCCTTCTTGATTGCCACAGGGTCGAAGTCCTCTCTTTCCATATAAGGAGTAATTGCCTGGAAAATGGAAGCGGTCTTTCCAGCAAGCCCTACCACTGCGAGTGGGAAGATGTGATGGCTATTGGTTGGCATGTGTAAATATGTCTTGGCTCCAGCCCAGGAAAGCAGCATTTCAACGCAGCGGGCATCAAAAACTCGCAGGGCCTGGATCACGCGATCGGGAATGTTGTCCTTGTCAGACTACTCCACATTTTAATAGGGCCCACAATTTGGGACAGGATTTTAGTAGGGCCCACAATTTGGAGCTTACTCATGCACGACCTACATCGTCATGCCGATGCCGTATGTCATCTGTGGAGTTTACCAAAACGCTCACGGGTAAATTGGATAAATAAAGCTGCTGCAACCGTTGCGGCCAGCTGCTCGAACACACCGAGTGCGATGCTGCCACGTGCTGACTTACCTGCCTTGATTAAGGCTCCTGTGAGCAATGCCCGTTGTCCTTGTCGAAGTTGAAAAGGCGATCCAGCAATGCCTTCGGATCATTCAAGACCTCCTGCACGGCGTGGCAGCACATGACAAAGCATGTGGCTGCAACTCCAAGCAGAAGGCACGTCGTAAACCCTGAGAGTGTTTGTGGAATCAATGACCGCTTCAGACATGCTCTTCCTGTCAGCTTGCGCAGTCACTCCTTCTGGCTGGTCTCCCAGTAGTCGTCGATCTTTTTGCCGGGTGTGTTTGGATCGTTCTTCTTCACCTTGCACTACGGGCAAGTACGGGCATCTTGTCGGAACAATGGCTCGCCGAGGAGGCAACAAAGCGCATGCATGTGTGTACGTAGGTATATGTGTACATACTTATATTTGTACTTATATGTAAATTTATGCTTGTGCTCACAAACATATTGACGTTCACATGTGTCCGTGTGTACATATTAACGGTGTGTGTGTGAGTGCGTGTGGGTATGTATACATGTATGTATGTATGTATGTATGTATGTATGTATGTATGTATGTATGTCTGTATGCGTATCTACACATAAATATACACACATATTATACCTACAGGCTTTTTTGCATATACATACTTCTGAACATGTAAGCGGAGGCATGGCTTTCGCATTCAAGGACTCAGGGACCGAATCCTCGTCTCTACAGATTGTTTCTCGAAACAGTAAGCGAGGAGTCTTGAAAAAATCAGGACTGGGGTTTTGCTGTTGGGTGCAAGGTTCAGGGGTTAGGGTCAGGGCTTATGAAGTCAAGGCAACATCCAGTCCGTGAAACGTCTCCATGGAGCATGCCAGGTGCCCGCACAGGCTTGAGCTGAAACCTGGATGCAGCAGCTTTGGAAGGCTAGCGGCTCGTGTCGCTTCAGATTCTTTCCTTGGTGAAATATGGGAATGTGGATTCAGCATTGTGTTTCGTCCGTGCCATCCTGTAACTTTAAATGTCTTCACGGCGGAGATTCACTACTGGTACAATCGATCTCAAATTCGAGAACAATCGATATCAAACCGCCCCGTAAATGCCTGCGCCCTCGACAAAAATACCGTGATTAAAAATATGCTGATGCTACAGTACGACATGTACGATGCTTGATCCAACTTGCATTTTGTAAAGAGAACTGCCGAGAATGACACCAATCTTGCTCACGTGACATCTAGCTGAAGCCAAGTTGCCGAATTTCAGAAGAAGAACTTAGGCCTAACCGTTCCGAGTCCACTGAGTCTTGATACTGCAAACTCGTGCAAAAGGGAGGCGTAATACCTCGACAAGCAGGCCGGCTTAAGCCTTAACCTGGGCACCCCTCCCCTCTCTTCCTCCCCTTCCCCTCCCGCCCCCCTATTGATGCCCTTTTCCGAGGCGCGGGCATGACACAAACCGCCTCCGTGGCCAGGCGTACACCCGCTGGTGGATTCGGCAACACCTTGACCTGCGAGATCAGACTTTGAGGCGCTTCGGACTGTCAGTCTCGACAATTGTCTTGAAACACTACAGGGGCCGGAAAAACGAAACGCTGGAACAACAGTCCTTATTAATTGAAAACAACAGTCTATCTTGCGACTTTGGACTTGGTGTGCAGCATGGGGGCTTGACGAGGCTTAGTCTTCGTCGCAGGGCCACAGATGCAACGCCAATCAACTAACTAAGTGTTGGGACTTCCGGAAATCCTCTACGAAAGCGTCTTTCTGCCACCGAGCATTTCGTGGTCATACAAGACGGATCAGTCTCGTGAACAAAATCATAGCACCGAAACGTCATACACAATGATGAAACAGGACTGGGACGGCGAAGTTGGTCCTGAAGCAACAACGACATGAAAAAACAACTTAACACTGCAAACACCATGCGCTCAAAGCCTCTTGAATGAGGTCGACATCCCGTGGCATGCTCGATGCGGTTTGTGCGACTCATCGTTCTTGCCTTTGCCAAACCACCATAAGACCCTCAGCTAGACCACCAAAAGCTCGCACACGAACACAATAAACAAAGAAACAAGCAAGCAAACAAGCAAACATCAATCAATCACACAAACAAACAAACAGCTTCAAGTCGATCGCCTCGCGAATGTGGTCGGCCTTGAGCTTCTTCAAGCATGCCACCTGAGTGCTGGGTTTGGCCCTTGTTGATCGTTGTTTCATTCGTTCAGAGTCTCTGGCTCAGGGGTTCTGCTTTCAGGCCACCTGAGGTAGAAACAGGGCTTCTTGTTTCAGGACTAGCCTGCTCGACTTCCTGCAACAGATGAGAGTTTAATCAAATAAAGTCTGGTGTCCGCTTCCACTATGCTCTCAACTCGTTGAACCACCGGACTATCCAAAACACGCTTGATGTTGAGGCCCCCCTTGCGACTGCTTTGCTTAACACCTGCACTCCAGAAATTCAGACATCAGGCCGCGACGGCAGTATCCAGAGCTGGCAGAGCTTCGTCCAAGTCCTTTTGGGCATCGTCCTCCATCGCTCCGTCTGACGATCGTGGTGTCGGGAAGGAAACCAGGACCAAAGAGGAAGTCGAAACAATTGCAAATCACAAAAGCAACAACATAAGCCGCAAGAAGTTCATCTCAACGACTCAATGGTTTCAACAACAACGGCAACAACAACGACGCCAACGACGACGATGTCGACCACGGCCGCTCCCACGACCACGATCACCACCACCACGACCACCGTCACCACCACCGCCGCCACCACCACCGCCACCACCACCACCGTCACCACCACCAACCCGGTGACAACGATGACGACGATGGCGAGCTTCACAATCACACAATCACAACAATCATCGTCAACATCAGCAGCTTTATCATCGTCAAGGTCACACCTATCATCTGACGAAGCACCATTGGTAACACACGTGATGTACACCAGACCTTGGTCGGGGGATATGGGAACTTCATCGTGATGGTACAACAGGCCGCTGCACAGGCAATCTTCACAGCTCCACCGAACACTTACTTGGAGATGACTCCAGGCCTGCTTGTAAAACGTGCTGAGACTTGGTTGGCATGACGAAATCCGTTTTCGTGTCGAGTAAATGCAGTGTCAGTCTCATGCCAGGCTCAGAACTCTTTCGTGTGCAGGCATGCTTCGTCAAATAATACAGTACCAGAAACATAGTCTTTCTGCCCTGAGTGCGGCAGCGTCTTGTGCAAGTTCTGGATTCAACATACGAGTACTTTCCATCTCGGTTCGCGGTTGCTCATCGAAATTGCTGCAGGATGCTGCATTCTTTCAGAACCTTCGGCTCGAGGTATCTTGAAGACATAGGCCACAGCTGAACAAACTTTTGATGTCCTACCTGAACTCCTCAAGAACCGCTTTCTTCCTCTTCCCGACAGCCTTTCTCTGAGCTTCAGAACCCTCTGCTCTGTTCAAAGGCCTGAGCCCTTCAAGCATGAAGCCGAAAGCTGAACTTCACGCCGGCCCGAACTACCGGCGTCCCTCGGATTGTGGTATACTCCAAAAACCACGAGCATAGCTCGTCCTTGATGTTCTGGGTCGCTTGAGCCTTGTTCTTGGCCTGTCAATACTCGGTCGGTATCTCTCAGACACGACGACATTGTGGCGACACAAATTGAACTGAGCAAGTTCCACCGCGACCTGGGATCATCCTTAGTGACTTCCATGCATTTGCGCGACCTTCATCGGCCACAACCCAGACACCTGCAAACGCACCCGAGTGAATCAGAAAGAAACCTTAATCCCACCGAAGTCCGAAACCGGCCGGACGGTTTTGGGCTTGACCATTTTTGAACTGCGCACGGGAAGATTAGGAGTCTCAGAAATGGAGCCCGACATGTGGACATCCTTCAGTTGCCAGGCGCACACCCAAGAATTTGGTGACGCAGAAACCTTTCGCCACGGCCACAGTCCTAGTCCTAAACTCATCGAACCTGAAAGTCCTCTGAACTCCTGCGCTCCCGGTACAGTCTTACATGACAAACCGCAGAATGCCCGTGGAGACCACAACACTTTGAACTCGCTCTGCGCCTCTGCCTCCTCCTTTGCCACCTTCGTGGACACCTCTTGAGCGGCGGCCTTGTCCACTTCGATGACCTCAAGATCAGGCGCGTTTGGCGCAAGGGTCCTCGCTCGGGTAGACAGAGGTTTAGATTCTAGAGGGGCGTGCATACTGACTTCGGATTTTGTAGAAGCTGTTCAGGAAGGAGAATGCGAAGCCGCTACCGTTGCCGATGTAAAGCAAGCTGATGCGGCCAGGAGCCGACAGGTATCACTGAAGCTGGCAATCATAGAGCTCCAGCTTCAACCGTGAATTTGCGAAGGTCGAACGCCTGCCTTCATCATCTCCTCGACCATCTTCTGCGTCTGCTCGAGCTTCGGCTTCTTCCTGGAGGTGCGGCGAAGGGGGTATTCATACAGGAAAGCACATCAACTGCTGCTGCTGCTGCTGCTGCTGCTGCTGCTGCTGCTGCTGCTACTACTACCAGTACTACTACTACTACTACTACTACTACTACTACAACTACTACAACTACTACAACTACTACAACTACAACTACAACTACAACTACTACTACTACTACTACTACTACTAGTACTACTACTACTACTACTACTACTACTACTACTACTACTATTACAACTACAACTACAACTACAACTACTACT